TGGGCATGGAGCTCGCAGCAGGGAAGCGGGCAGAGTCAGCTTTGTGTCTTCCTGCCGCCTCACGGGCCTCCTCCTCGTTCTCCTTTACCGGCTCCTTCTCCTCCCCCCAAGTCTATGCGTCAGAACAGATAAGGGCTCACCGTCCCCTTTTCTCCTTTACCCACCACCACTGACTTGGGGCTTTCATCTAGTCTTTGGCTTATAAATATTGTCTGTATGCTGATGACTCCCGAATGTATTCTCTCCCTGGACCTCTTCCTCCAACTCCAGACATTGCCCATCTAGCTACCTACTTGACATCTCCAGCTGGGTATATGCTGGGCATCTCAGAATGAATACCGGCACAGAAACACCGAGAGCCATGCCCCTGCCTCGCCCCAAAGCCCTGCTTCTGCATTTTTCCCATTTCAGGGTCAACTTCATCCTTATAGTTGCTTAGGCCAGAACCTTGGAGTTCTGCTGGACCAGTCTCTTTGTTCACGAACCATCATCCAATCCTGTGGACTCTCCCTTCAAGCTGTGTCCAGAGTCCAAGCCCTTCTCACCTTCTCTGCTTACTGCCACCCTGGTCCCGGTGCCCTTGGCTCGTGTCTGGGTCCTTGCCACGGCTTCCCAGCTGTCTCCCTGCCTCTGTGCTACCCTCGTTTGGTTTACTCTCAAAGCGGCAGCCAGAGAGTTCCTGGTAGAGTATAACCCCAAATCCTGCAATGGCTCCGTCTCACTCAGAGTGGAAGCCACTGCCCTTAGCGTCTCCTATGGGTCCCACGTCACCCGGCCCTCGTTACTGTTCTGGTCTCATCCGCTTTCCTCCCCGCCCTCCGCCCCAGCCGCATCCCTGACCCCCTAAGCCTGCTCCCCATCTAGACCCTTCTCGTTGGCTGTTTTCTCTGCCTGGAATAGCCTTCTCCCAGTCATCTCCACGGCTCCCTCCTTCCCCTCCTCTCTTCCTTTGCCAATGTCACTTTCTTAATGGGGCCTTCCCTGGCTTCTTAGCTAACATTTTGACACGCACCCAGCCACTCCTGGCATTCCCCAACCCCCTTCCTTCTTTACTTTTCTCCGTGGAACAACTCTTTCCAACATTTCCCTTATTTATCTTATTTATCGTATGTCTCTTGCTACTAGACTGTCAGCTCCATGAGAACTAGGGTTTTGTCTGTTCCCTGATGAATTCCCAGTGCTGAGAGCCATGCCTCCCTCCTAGGAGACACTTAGCACCTACTTGTGAAATGAATGAGTGCTAATAGGAGGTTGTCTCCTCTCTCCTAACTGCTTCTTTCTGACTTTTTATGGAACTGTTGTCTTAACTTCCATCTGTGCTTTGTCCACGGGGTTAGTAGGACGTAGTGGCAAAACCAGTGGACAGCCAAGTGCAAATGGAATTTACCATTTGGCTGCCTCATTCCCAAGCTGTGTGACTTGGGATAAGTCGCTTGGCCTGAGATTTCATTTCTTTGCTTATAAAACGAAGGGAGCTGTCCTATCACTCAGGGTTGCCGTGAAGTTTCAATAGAATGATGGATGAAGGGCTATCAAGGACAAGATATGGTTTTCATTTACCACAGCGTCTGGCCCAGCCTCAGCGCCAGAGTTTTATGCACATGACTGTCTCATTTAATTCTCACATCAAATCAGTGAGATACAAACTCGCACCGCTGAACTCATTTTATAGATAACAGAACCTAGGAGCACCAAAAAGTTCAGTGAATTACTTAATACCCAAGAGCTAGTCAGCAATTCAGACAGGCTTTGAAACTAAGCATTTTTATTCCATGGCCTGAGTTTTTCCCCACTATATTCTACTAGCACAAAGTTAATGTTTTAATAATCAAATGGAGTAATGAAAAGGATCTGACCTGACGTGCAACTTTTGTCTCCCGACGATTTTTTTCTGGACTGCTAATGAACACAGCATTTCCCTGATGGTATTTTTATCCCCTCTTCAACTCAAACAGGCAGAAATTCCTGTCTTCCAATAGAAAAAGGTATTGTCAGGCATTCCTCTATCTTTCCCCTCCTCCCCCCAGGGAAAGAAACGCTATCATAATGTCCCCTGAGATTTCTGTTGTACGGTCTACCAAGTCCAGATGGTTTTCTCAAGTTCAGACATCATACTTGGTAAAGTATTTGTAATTATCCACGGAAACACATCCCGGACTCAGTTTCAAACACGGCTTCCCAAATCACTTATTCCATGCTCTTCTGCCTTGTGTTATGGCCTTTCTGTGCTAATGAATTTGTAAATGTGGTTTAATTACTGTTTACTGAAAAATAGCTACACACGGATCAGTCTCAGTGGAAGACTTAGCCAAAATGTTGAGGCAGTTTGTTTCTAGTGCAAAAACAGCTAATAAGTGAGAAGCACATTTTAGACATTGGGAAAGGAGCTTAAGTTTAGTTTTGAAGAAACAGTGTTGTATAGACCCAGAAAAAAGAAATCATTCTTTAAGAGAGTAGATCTAAATATCAAAATGATATTTTTTTCCTAAGGCTGGGCACACGGTGATTTGCACAGAACCAAAGTATTAGGGATGGTGATTTGATTGAACACCACACCAAAGAGCTGTACGTTAAAGAGCCCCCAAAAAGGAAAACCTGAAATTACTTGTAAATTTCATCAAAATGTTCCGGAGCTCTGGAAAGCCATGTATTATGTATTACCTCATGTTTCTGAATTCTTGCCTCAGGCAAATTGCCAACTTAACAACTAAATGACAGTTTCGAAATTCTAATACAGACCGGCCTCTCTAACTTTGCTTTTCTCCCTCCAGAAAAAAAAGGGACACATGAGGGAAATGAAAGTTATTGGAAGGTTCAATTTATAAATGGTGCTTCATTTGGAGCTGTAGTTTAGTCTTGCTCTTGCATAAAATGGTGTTTGCCTGATTCTGCATGAAGAGAAAACTTCCTGCCCCTGTGGCTGTTGGTCCTGCCAATAGGACCTGTGCTGTCCTCTCTCCATCCTTTCGGAGGGTCCCTGTCTAGGAAGGGGGTGGGGCGCGGAGCCTGTTCTGCCTCCAGTGCAAAACTCAGAAAACAGAATCAGTCAACTTGCCAATTCCTAAGATTGCTTGGCATTTCTTGAACTATGGATAAAAATGCAAGAAGTTTGAGCAGGGTGGGATGCAAACACCGCCCTCTAGGAATTTATTTTTAGTGGGGGCAAAAGACAGGCAATTCAGTATAAGAGATCCCCAACTGGGGGGCAGAGCGGGGTGGGGGGCACGACCAGGTAAAGGGGGTCAAAGGTACAAACTTCTAGTTATAAGATAAAAAAAATCCTACGGCTATGATGCATGGCCAGGGCCTCATCGCTGTAGTGGAAAGACTCCTTTTCTGGGAAGATTATTACAGATTTCCGTGTTGTAATGATTCATCTGTCTATCGGTCATTCCTTTTTTCATTAACTTACCAAGTGTTATTTATGGGGACCTGAGAGGGAAAAGTAGTCCCAACAGAGACTCGGTCTGAAGGGGCTGACCCTGCAGAAGGAGGGAGACAGACATTAACAAATAAACACCAGAAGAGAAAATCTCAAAGAAAACTGGGAATCACGATTAAAATGGGGATGTGTGGTCTTTCATATAGTCTTTAATTTTCCAAGCTTTACTTTCGGGATGTTTTCCAATATAGGAAAAATGCAAAGTGTAAGTGCAGAGCCCCTTTATGAGAAGGGGCTGATCCTGACCGTGCTTAAATCCTAAGACTTTGGAAATAGGAACTAAGCTCAGATATCACCTCCTCCAGGAAGGCTTTCCTGATAGCACCTATGTCCCCTTTTGGCTTGGGTATCCGCTCTATGTTCTCCCATCGTACCGCATCCATTCCCTGGCAACTGTGAACTGAATAGCTAGTGTACTGTCCCCTCACTGTCACCACCATTTCTGAACTTAAACAGCTGGAGGCCCCTGAAGACGGAGGGGCCACATCTCACTCTTCTTTGAATCCACAGCACCAGACACATGCCTGGTGCCAGGTGCTTACTTACTTAATGTTGATGGCTCTGTGAATGGGAAGATGATAATTCTAGTTGTTTTTTTCCCATCTAACAAAAGTTGCCTTTGTTACCCCCCCCACTATGTTAAGTATAAAAACAGGTAATAAAAGTGTATATATTCTTGTTTTTTGAAATGTGAATGTACAAAAAACATATGTTAATAGTATATTTAGATAAGCATGCATATAAAAAATCTGGAAGGACACACACCTAAATGCTAGCAGGCTTATCTCTAAGTGTTAAGATTTGAAATGTTGCTAACTTTTTTCTTTATGCATCGCTGTGCTGTTTTACTATATTGCGATGGATGTGTACTACTGTTACAATAAAATATGAGGTTAATTGTATTTAAAAAGGAAAGTTTGGCCTCTTCCGTAGGCATGCACGTAAGCGGTTTATGAAGCCTCATCTTTACCATCTGAACCCAATGCTGACAGTGAATTGACCTTGTGAATTTAAATAACCCATCTAACTTGGTAGCATTTAATGGTACTAGATGGGTTTGTATTTTCCTCAGTCATATCTGTTTCATAATATTCAGAAGGTACCCAAGCAGCACTTTCCTGGGAAATACTCTAGCAATAAAACATAAATTACCTCTTTTGTCTCTCTCTCTCTCTTCCAGTTCTCCTCCTTAAATTTTCTCTGCTAATACTTGGATCGGATGTTAGAGCCTCAGACGTCTTAATGTCAGGCTAGACTAGACCTCTTGCAAATAGATGAGGCAGAACGAAGTAGCCAATTTCTCTGGCTCTGGCTCTCCCCCTCCCTCCTTTTCTCCCTCTTTCTTTCATTACGAATCCCTTGTTTTTGCGTGGCTCTGTATAGAAGAATTATCAGTTTTCTGGTCAGTGCTATTTCTGCTCAGCATCTTCTGACTGCCTGTCTTTCTATCATTTTGCTTGGCTGAGTTGGACAACCAGACGGTGTTGTGGACTAAAAGAGTCTATTTCTTTTTCCCAAAGGAACAATCACAAATTATAAAGTGTGCCTCTGAAAAACAGGTCTAAAAATGAGACGTCTTCTTTTCTCTCTGCAGCTGAATTCTCGCTGCCAGGATGGGGAAACAGAACAGCAAGCTTCGCCCAGAGGTCATGCAGGATTTGCTGGAAAGCACAGACTTTACAGAGCACGAGATCCAGGAATGGTATAAAGGCTTCTTGAGAGACTGCCCCAGTGGACATTTGTCAATGGAAGAGTTTAAGAAAATTTACGGGAACTTTTTCCCTTACGGGGATGCTTCCAAATTTGCAGAGCACGTCTTCCGCACCTTCGATGCCAATGGAGATGGGACGATAGACTTTAGAGAATTCATCATAGCCCTGAGCGTGACATCGAGGGGGAAGCTGGAGCAGAAGCTGAAATGGGCCTTCAGCATGTATGACCTGGATGGAAATGGCTACATCAGCAAGGCAGAAATGCTAGAGATTGTGCAGGTACGTAGCCCTAGCCCCTTACAAAGCGAAGGACGTGAGTCACAGGTAAGAACTGGCAGGTGCACCATCCAGCATGGGGCGGGTTGCCGACTGGTGCCCATCTAGTCTTTGATTCGGCCTACGCAGTGTTTTTGGAAATGCTGAATCCATATTTCCAAACAGGAGATTACACATAAAAACGCAGATTGGTTGGCATCTCTTGAAAACTCAAATCTGGCAACATTGGGCCCCCATTCTTGCTTGGCCTAAGTCACCTGATTGCTTTGTGGTGACCCCCACCCTACAGGTGGATGTACACTCTTCAGCAAATCCTGCTCACTGTGACCCCTCCGTACACCCATCCCAGTGACCTGCCCAGACCTCAAGCCTTTGGGATTATAGCCCCTGGAGTGGTGTGTAATGATCAGTCTCTGACCTGGGGTTCAGACCCTGCTCCTTTCAGTCACCACCTCTGTGACTCTGACCAGCTTAATTCACCTAAGTGAGCCTCAGTGTCCTCATCTGTGAAATGGAACCATCAACCCATGTTGTGGGGTTAGTTCAAGATTAGATGTGACTGTCCATGTTCAGTGCCTAGCGCAGTGCCAGCTGCATGGAAAAGCTCATCATCACCACCATCATTAATTTACAACTTTCTTAGACTCTTAAATAAAGGCAGGGATCTCTGGGCTGGCTTCTGTCTCGTCTCCTCAGAAATACAAACATTGTAGAATCAAGTCCTCCATCATTTTAATAGGAAGCAGTCCATTTTATTTCCCCAAACCACTCACCCAGAGTAAATACCCTGAATAGAACAGGAGAAGGGGCCCTGGTGTTGGCCCTATTTTCCCTGTCAGACCCGAAGGGAAAGTGGGGAAGGGGCATAAGGAGTCATAAGTGGTCATGGCACCTACAGCTTGATTGGCAGTGACTGGGACTGGGAGGAACTTAGGGGGACTGAGACACAGCTCAGGGGAGGATCAGGACAGCTTCAGCTGCAGGCAGTAAAAAGGACTAGGTGGGTGGGCTGGCCATCACTCATCATCTTGGCAGGCGAATGGGCACAAGAGGGAAGCATCTGGAAGCAGACAGCAGACCAAAAATGGGCATTCGGCTTCCTGGAGGGCTCATCTCAGAAGCCAGCACTCACTCCAGAGTGTCAGGGTTTCGAGATAGATCTGCAGCCCCCCGGAGGACAGGTGGGGGTGCTGGAAGGATCACAAGGAGACAGAGAGCAATCCACTGCTGGTGAGGTTGGGAGGGGAGTCAGAGGGGCACTTGCTTTCAAGGAAAGAACCAGGGAGACCTGTTACAGAAGCTAAGGTCAGAGCCAAAAGAGACCCACACGACTGCCTTGTCCTCGAGCCCTTGTAGCTGAGGCCTGTGGTCTGCTCCTGGGCCAGTGGGCCTGAACCCGCAGGGGCAGTGAGAGGGACAGGTGCACACGGAGCCGGGGGCGGAGCAGGAATCCAGTTGACCTCTGTACTAGCAAACTCTCCCAGGTCTGCCAACTAGTTCTTTCTGCAGCTTTTCCTTCACTGCGGGCAGCGACTCTCTGAACGCGGTGTGTTAAATTAATCCCTCAGAGACAAAATCTTAAACAAGACTAAAGGATTTCTCCCCGCCCCCAAGGATAAATGTATGAAAAATATAATGTCAATGGCAAAAATATGGGCAGTATAGAAAAATATAAAAGCAAAAGAGAAGAATTCTCCATAATCCCACTCCACCTACAAAGAGAATCACTGCTATTAATTTTATAATACTAGCAAATGATATTTTCTGGTCTAATTTCCATGCATTTGAAAATGTCTAATTGATTTCATAATGTATATGAAATTTTGTATCTTGCCATTTTCACTTAACATAATAATACAAGCAGCTCTCATGTCATAAAAACTTTAATAACGATATTTTAATAGCTGCATAATAGTCATACAATATAATTTACTTTCTCTTCCTCTATTGTTGGATATATAGGTTGTTTCCAGGTTTTATTAATATACATGATACTGTAATTTTTAAATATAAAATAACAGATAATTCTTGTGCATGAAACTTTTTCTGTGTTTAGGGTTATTCCCTTAGAATGGATTCCCAGAAGTGCAATTACTGGGCCAAAGGGAAGGAGCATTGATTTCTGAGGTACTCGATGCTCTCTGCCGAACTGTTTTCCCAAACGCGCGCCCTGAGTGAATGAAGGGTGTGCCGCGTCATTGTACTTTTCCGATTTTTCTTCATCTTTGCTAATTAAACAAAAATTTAAATTTCAAAGGTGATTCATTTTAATTAGCTTTCTTTTGTCTCTCCTTTTTGGGGGGAGTGCTGCACTCTGACCCCGTGTCCTCTGCGTCACTGCAGAGAAAGGGGTGACTATGTTCTCCTTTTGAAGAGAATGACTTCCTAATTGGGATCTGGGGGAAAAAACTTCCTAGCAGCCACTGTGTTATCTCCTGTTGAACGTTTTTGTGCAGTTCTCCTGGCTGCTCCTGGTCAGGAGTTTGGTGGCCAGTATTGACGAAGATGTTGACCCGCAGTCAGGGAGAACCCTCCAGACCCCAGGGGCTTATGAACATCCAACCATTCAGTTAAGCACCTGCTAAGTAGCTGGCACTGGGAATAAAGAGCGTGGGCAGGAATACAGACACTCTCCCTGGGCTGTGGAATTTGGTTTGCAAGGGCTGGTGGGGACTTTGCCGAGGATGCGCAGAAGGTGCTAGTAAGCACTTGCTGAGCCCTCGCCGACTTCCTCTGTGTTCAGCATGGAATGTAGAAAGTGATCATAGAAACGAAGGGCCATTCAGCCTCACAAGACATTTTCCTCCACTTGTAAGTAGCTCAGTCCACTCGCAGGCCCACGGGAAGCTTCCAGGTCATCACGGGAAGGACTCGGAGTCCTTAATAAATGCTTATCTACTCAGGGTTTTTTAGGAGCCTGCAAATGGAAGCCTTGAGTCTCCTTCATTGTTTTCTACAGCACCGCACCCTGATGATTAATATTCATGACCGTGGGGAGGAAACCCTGCAGCCCCTTGAGGCAATTTCCAAATTGCCAATGAGATTAAATTAAATTTAGAACCCTTTTCCTATGAAGGGCTATGTTACTCTATTCTGCTACTCTGCAAACTGACAGTTCGTGGATTCTCTCATTACGCTAATCCCCGGGTTGCAGTGACTCTGGATGAACTGGGATGTGGAGGATATTACCAGACTTCCCATTCTATTTTTTTCTTTTCTCTCCCCACTCCAAAAGTGAAAGCACTCTAGGCCCTGTCCCTGTCCCAAGAAGCTGGGTACCTGTGTGCAGATTCTCTATTTGGGGGGTGCGGGTTCTATCTGGTCGGCGCCATCAAGGAAGGACCTCCGCTGGGGATGCGCGTGCTTCAAAGGAGTCACTGTCCATGGGTTTCTGCTTTGTGTTTGGGTCAATATATGTTAAGGAGTGATGAGACAAGAGCAAGCTGTGGGCCCCAGAATCATTCACAAATGACAGTTCTATTTGTTAAAGTGAGTAAAACCTGCAGCTTGATGACAAGCACCAACATATAAATTCTTGGCTAAACTTCTGCTCCTCCAAGACACCAGAAATTCAAGCAATTTAATAAAATTTAATAAAATGCAAATTCCTGGTGTTCACCAACAGACACTAAAAACTGGTCAGGGCCCAAACAAGTTTATAATTAGGCTCGACAATGGAGTGTAGTAATCCACAAATTTTCTAGTTTTTCTTCCCTGACATTGTTTCTTGTAGTTTAGCAAGTAGTGTAGCATTGATATCTGCAGAATATTGTTTACAGTGACAAGCTTTGGTTTCTGTTGCAGACGCTAATGACACCCTGGGAGTTCCCTCTTGCTGATGTAACAGATTACCGTAAAATTAGTTGCTTAAAACAACACGAAGTTATTATCTTAACAGTTCTCCAGGTCAGAGGGTCTGAAATCAGTTCTACTGGACTAAAATCAAGGTGTCCACAGGTTGCATTCCTTCTGGAGGCTTTAGGGGAAAATCTCTTTCCTTGCCTTTCCTGGTTTCTGGACGCATTCCTTGCCTTGTGGCCCCCTTCCTCCATGTCCAAAGTCAGCAATAGTAGATTGACTGAGTCCTTCTCACACCAGCATTTCTCTGGGTATCTCACTTTGCTTCTCGCTTCCACTCAGAAAGACCCCTGTGATAACACTGGGACCAGCCCGTTAGGACAACCTCTCCCGATCGCAAGATCCTTAGCTTAATCCCATCTGCAAAGTCCCTTTCAGTATGTAAGGTAAGATATTCACAGGTTCCGGGGGTAACAACACGCATATCTTTGGAGGGACTGTTATTCAGTCTACCACATAGGCCAAAATGCAGTTATGTTCTTTTTTAAAAAAAATAATTTTGTGCTATATCAACATCTGGATGAACAAATAAAACCATATGCAGATTTATTTTTAGAGTCTTAAATGAACATTTTTACGTTCACGTGTTTGGTTTTTTTTAAGTGACAAATTTAGGAACACGGTTTAGGCCCAGTATTTTATTAGCATCAAAACTGCCTATCAGGAGTTGTAAGCCAGACAGATAACAGTTCTAACCTTTCCTCATGTTACAGCAGATCCTCTCCTCCAGGTGAGGGCCACAAGAGCAGGGAAAAGCCTTCCTGCCCCATGCAGCAACCTGTGAGCCCAGCTGGAGGCAGGTCTGCACGCCCACACCCAGCCCAGCACAGGGTCTGAGGAAAGGGCTGAGCAGGCGGGAAGGGGCATTGCTGATGTGGTCACGAGGGCTTGGATACTCCCTGGGATGTTAGGGGCTCAATAAATGTTGGCTACCATTATTCTATCACAGTTTCCAGAGCGAGGACAAGAGGTTTTCCTGCTAAATAAAGGGAGGTCGTTTCCCAAAGGACAAGGTAATAGAATCTTCTATTAAGTTTTAAGTTAAATTTACCTAGTCAACAAAATTTATGTTCACAGAGAGGAGGGAGGTAACCCAATGAAACTCTCAATTGGTGGAACTCACAGATATTCTGGAACAGATGACT